CCGCCCCGCGGCCCGGCGGGATCCCGGCTCAGTGGGCCGCCGCGCTCCGGTCACTGCGCAGTAAGCCCGTAATGGGGACTCAGGCTCTGAGAAAGGCTTACCCAGGGACACGGGGGAGAGCAGGCCTGGGGGCGTGCAGTATTCCCGAGGGATCAGCCCAGGAGCGCAGGGTCTGTATATAATGCTCCCCAACCCCGGGGCGCGGTCGACCCAAGGTGTGGCCCTGACCGGAAGGCGGTTTCATTGCCTGCACCTGCTCCCAATCTGCGGGTACCTTCCCCGAACCCACCCCTCGTGTCTCAGCCTGGCCTTGCAGGCGTGCACCACGGGCCCCCAGCCTGTGCAGCGGGGATCAGTGGGGAGGACGAGGCAGTTACAAGACGCAGTTGCAGACAGGTTTGGGGTTTTACCGGGTCCCTCCCCTGCAGGCTGCCCATTAGTGCGCTCTAAGGAGAGGAGCCGTGGGTCTTCAGATCAAGAGTTAACGCCTCGACAAGCACAGGCACTCACACCCCAGGTCCGTGCACCCCCACGTCTGTGCGTCAGTAGTCCCCAGTAAAACGGGGCTGGGGCCGCCTATTGCGCAGGTGTAGATGCGCTTGGGACCACCAGAGAACCAGTGCAGGCATAGCCTGCAAATTCCCAAACCCCAGCACTCCAAAGCAGGAGGGTTGTGACCTCGCTAGGGGTCCCTCCTGGCCTCTACCCTGCTTGTGCACCAGGGTGAGTCCCAGTTGGCTCTGGGGCCCAGGGATTCCTTCCCACAGAAGCCTCCAGAGAGAGCGCCTCCTACACCCCAGAGGACACAACTTGATCCCTGTATTCCACATCATGTACACTCTGTTCTGGATGCCAGTGTTTACCTCTTGGTTCTTATCACCCAGGGTAATGTCAGGGCCAGAAGGCAGGGGCAGTGGGACACAGTGGGAGAGCATGAGGTCCCAGGCTTACCAACCTTCAAGGAGCCCCAGCCTAGCCCCTTCCCAGGTGGCCAGCATTCTACCTTCACATCCACTTCCTCCATGGGACAGACAGGGAAACAGGCTTGGAGGGGCAGGGTCCCTCACCCAAGGTCCAGCAGCCAAGTTGGGGCCTCCTAGGTGCAGGATTCACTCCATGGGCCCCATACCCCTTGGATATGCCCTCCAGGCTGGTGGGCAAGACCTGTAGCCCAGGCAGGCCAGCAGCTGGGTGAGAGGGCTACCAGCCTGGATCCCCACCCGGCTACCAGCAGGTGGGCACAGACCCAGGGTCAAAGGTCAGGTCAGGCACTCCCCCCAGGCTGGGGCACAGCACTCTCCCTGTTGGCGCAGCTGACGTGGACACCACTGCACCCAAGCAGATGAAGGTGACCGTTGGGGTCACTGTGGGTCTCGAGGCAGAAGGCACTGGATAGCCAGGTGAGGATTTTGCAGTACCCACTGAAGTTGCTCCCCACGTGGCCCTGATCCCTTCCCCCTCAGAATTATGCCTCTTTGAAGTTTTGTAACCGTGGCATCGCAGCTTTGACCAGAAAGCAAATACCGTTTTAAGAGGGAGCTGCTTGATTCCATTGTGATGAGAATTTCCTGTTTCATGGACCCAGTTGGCACAAATCTGAGTTCCTGATCAGACCTGTGGGACTGGCGGTAGGGAACGCCCCACCATGGGGTACCCGCAGGCTCTCAGCGCTGTCCGCAGCACTTCCGGCTACCTGTTCCCCACTGGAACATCAGCTCCCGAGGACAGGGGCCAAGTCTGCCTTGGTCATGGCTCCAGGCATGCAGCCAGTACTCCATATATGCACTTAAAACCAGACAAGATGAGCTGAAGGAAAGGGGAACGTGGGCCAGAGGCAGGAGTAGCAGGGCACGCCCAAGAGCAAGGGGCAGCCTGTGGGGCTGAAGCCGATTGGTCGAAGGGAGGCGGGGGTGATGGTCTGGGCGTGGAGGAGTAAGGACACTCCTCCCACTTCCTCACTGGCCAAGGGCCGCCATTCATTCAACAAGACTCCTCAACACCTGCGCTCAACCCAGACCTTGAGGTTCCTGGGCAAGGCTGAACGGCCCTGTCCCCACAGAGCTCCTGTCAGGAAGCCACTGCGTGTAGACCCTAGTGTTGCAACAAGCTAATAGCTGCCTCCAAGGTGGCCATGATCCTTGAAGCCTGGATCCTGCCTTTCTGCATTTCCTGCCCTGGTGAATCAGGCAGGTCTGTGTAACTGAAAAATGTGGCAGAGGCGTAGGTGTGACTTCTGGCTGGGTAGAGGCCCTCGTGGCTGCTGCCCTTCTCTCGTGGGTACCTAGCTTTGGAAGCAGCTGCCAGGCCGTGGAGGGTGTCACTTGAAAATGGACCCCGAGCCCAGGCAAGCTCCCAGGTGAGGCCACATCCCTGGCCGACACCTGACTGCAGCCTCACCAGAGACCTGAGTCACAGCCACCCCACCAGGCCTACCCCAAACCATGGCAGTAACAGATGCTGCCAGGTTCATTTTGGGGTAACTCCGCAGCAGTGTGCAACTACTGCTCTAGATGTCTGGGCAAAAAATGAGGGAGGGGCTGACTTCAGCAAACCTGGGGAGGATTCCAAAGGACAAGGTGCACCCAGGGTGCAGTTGACAGGCAGGCCAGATGGCCAGAGCCTGCAGTTTGAGGGTTATGAGCTGAGGGGAGGGTGTGGTCATCTACCTTACGTTTTGAAACAACCCTCTGTATACACACAAGGACCGAACGCAGGGTCTCAAGAGCTCTTTGTACCTTTGTGCACAATGGCGGGATTCACAAGAGCCAGCAGTGACTATCAGCAGATGAGCTGGTAAGACAAATGTGCTCATGCAGGCTGAAGTATACGTCAGCCCTAAAAAGGAAAGACGTTGACATGCTCTGCGTGGATGCACTGGAGGACATTGTGCTGAGTGATATATTGTGCAGTATCATAGGAAATCTATATTTGGTCTCCAGTTTTTGGCACAGAGCTTCTAAAATCCTTGGCATTTCCTAAGTCGCAAAGGAGAAAAAGGTGCCTTTTGTTATATCTGACTTTGGGAAGCCCCTGGGTCACGTAAGAATGGGGACTGCTTGCCAGAGAACCCATCTGTGGGGTTAGAGGGCTGGACTGTCTGTCCCACCTGTGACCTCTGACTTCCAGGGAGGCAGGGAAAGGGACAGCTGGTGGTTGAATTAATCACCAGTGATCACTGACTTAACCAATCAAGCCTGTGTAAGAAGCCTCCAAATGTTTGGAAAGCTTCCAAGTTGGTGAGCATAGGGTGGTGTGGGAGCAGCATGGGAGCTCTGTGCCCCTTCCTCACACCTCACCCCATGAATCTTCACCTAGCTGCTCCCGAGTGGCACTAGTAAGTAAAATACCTCTGAGCGGCTCTAGCAAATGAACTGAACCTGAGGGGTCATGGGAACGCTGACCTACAGCTGGCTTGTCAGACATGCAGGTGAGGGCAGTCGGGGGAGTCTTCTGGGGCTGAGCCCCCAACCTGTAGGGTAGTTGACATCAGACCCGAGTTGAGTTGTAGGACACCCAGCTAGTGTCCAAGAATTGCTTGTTGTAAGGAAAAGACCCCCTCCACACACTTAAGACTGGGTACTCAGAACACAGAAGACCGAAATAAGCCATCGCCGAAGGTCAAATTCTGACTTCACTTCTCCGAGGCCCCTGGAGGAGTCATATTCATGGTGACAAAAGGTAGATAGTGGGGTGGGAGCTGGGGAAAGGTTAGTGTTTAGTGGGAACAGAGGTCCAGTTTGGAGAACGAGTTCTGGAGGGGACAGTGAGGGTCACACAACAGTGAGTGTCCTTAGTGCCCCTGTGCACTGAACAGTGGTTAAGAGGGTAAATTTTGTTGTTTTGTTTAAAAACTTAAACCTGTAGCTGTGTGAAAATTCACTTGGGGGTGGGGGGAAGCAGATCCAAAGCCCTGCAAGGAGCCTAACATGACCCTCCACAAGGGACCCTTGGAGGTTGTGGCCGAGGGGCACTGCTCAGGAGGCTCAGAAAAGCAGGGGAGAGCCCAGGCTAGCAGGGATGCCACCACGTGAATGCTGCACTGCTTTGGTCCAGTGCTGTGGCTGAGCCTCCCTGCTGGTGTCACCATGCCCCTAGGAGCATGATGTGAAAACTGCCACATGCCTCAGTGAGCACATGGACGTCCTGTGGCCTCACAACCACACTCAGGAACAGCTTCCCACAAACAGGCCCTCAACACCAAAAGCAACAGCTGAAAATGTGGGAGCACCCAGAGTCCCTCTGTGGGCTTTGCACACAAACCACGGGACAGGACCACACTGTATAACCTGTAGAGGATGCGTTGACAAGGGGTGAAAACGTGGCAAATGTGGTCCTTCAGGACTGCAGCTTGCCTTCTCTGGGCCCCTCTAGGTGCTGCAGGGAGCCCAGGCAGGAAGCAGAGATTGGAGGGCAAACCAGAGCCACTTTCCTAGATGGCCGAACAGGTCACATTCCAAATCACAGGATGCAGAGGTCAGAGCCTAATGGCCAGGACAGATGTCGGCTCACTGGCAGGAGACATGCAGAGACCAGGGTGCACAGTGAGCCGACACATCTTCGGTGAGTGAACAGGATGCACACTAGCAGACGCATGTCTGGAGTCACACCTGCAGGGTGTGCACACAGACATATGCAGTGCGGGCTCCCATTCCCTTGGGGAGGGGTTCAGGGATGAGCGACATGGCCATCTTTTGTCTGACTGCTTGGACAAGTGATGAGCTGGGTGACCACAGCAGCTCTGAAGGTGCCCGTGCCTGACCGTCAAGTGGGAAGAGGCTGTGCACCCAGTGACCTCCAGGCCTGAGGCAAGGCTCATACAGGGACTCACCATGAGGCCAGTACGCTGGACACCGCACAAGGTCTGCCGACAGTAGCCCTGCCAGTGGGGCTGTCGTCCTGCTGAGTGCCTGCAGGCACGAGCCGAGCTGTGGCAGTAAGGAACTAGTTCTACACCAGTGCACTTGGGATGGAGGATCAACACAGGAATTTTTACCTTTGTATTTTCAGTATTAAGAATTATTTATTTCACACCTCTCCCACTACTTCAAGTGACAGATGCAGCGCCCTGCCCTGCAGAGGAAGATGCCAGGCGGCCAGTGGTGACTGCTTGGTCCACTGCTGGCTTCCCCCTTGGCTATGCAAATCTAGGTTTGCTTAAAATGTCCTGCAGTCTCTCCAGGGGAGCTGGGCTTAGAGGGAAGCTGCAGCCAGTTCTGTTAACCACAGTGCTGGTTTCAGGGAAGGTTAGCTATAAAAACTGCTGCAGCTGGGCTTCCTTGGGACAAGCCACCCCCACAGGGGTCCCCAGCACAGTGCCGAGGGAATCCCTACACCCTGAAGCTGATTTCACTGGTCACTCTGGAGCTGGACACGTGGAGATGCAGGTGGCTGGCTGGCGGGCGTGACCTGGCCCTTGGCCTCAGCCTCTGTCACCCAGGGGCAGAGGCTGTAGGCTGTCCGGGCATTTCCAAGGTGGGCCCGGAGGCAGGCAGGACTGGTCCCAGGTTTGCTGTGTTCACCATCACCTGGGCGTGTGGTGAGCCAGTAGGGCCACTGGGGACCCAGGGGTCCTTGTCCATGCCACAGGCCACACCGACCAGCTCCCTGGGGCCCTCACCAAGGTCCCTGTGGGAGAGGAGACATAAGCAGGAGGAGAACCAACCTCTGGCCCTGGGCTGCACCCCCTACCCCAGGCCCCTGCCCCGTTCCTCCTGTCAGAGCTGCTCTAAGCCTGTGGAGGCCCCTCCAACGGCACCCTTCCCTGGACCTCAGGCCCTGATCCATGAGGGGTGTGGTCTATGGAGCAGCATGCCTACCTCCGGGGGTGGAATAGGGCTGTGTGGAAGAAGGGGCTCATCCATCATGTGTGTGCTCCGCAGCTGGGGCACCCCAGGCCAAGCAGGGACCTGGCCCAGGGACACCCTGCTCCTGCCAGGTGGTCTACCAGCAGTCTGGGGCCAGATCAACCACCTTCTACAGCTTCAGTTACACTGGGCCCCCCTACCCCTCACCTCCCAAACCACCCCATTCTACAGGATTAGACCCTGCCCACGCCACGCACCCGGCCCTGCCCATCTCCCTCACTCCAGCCTCTGCTTCCTCCCCCATTTCAGATGCTCTATACCATCCCCAAAACAAGTCTCCCAATCTGCTTGCTTTAGGTATCACCTCCTCCAAGAAGCCTTCCCAGATCTGCTTCCACCCACACCTACTTCTCAGATAAGCTGTACAAAGTAGTAGGACTTAAGAAGTCACTTGTTGGTGCAATGAATAAGTGAATAAATCAGTTAATTAGTGGAAAGAAAAGACAACTTGGTGGACTTTAGCCAGAAAGGCTGAGTTCAAATCCAGATTCATTCTTGTAGATGTGAGTCTGGGTAAGTTTCTTCAAATGCGATAAAAATAGCACCCACCCCTAAGTTCAGAGCAAGGCATATTTGGAAGGGTTTAGAACATGTGCTGGGAAGCATTTATGAAATAAAAGCAAGGTCAAGGGGAAGCCTCGCCTTGCTGAAGACAGTGTCACTGCCTGTCAGAGCTAGAACTTGCCCAGGCCATACCAAGGGCAGCTGGCTGTTCTCCTGGACCCACCACACTTGCCCAACTGAGACAGAGGACAGTGTGTCATAGCAGGCGCCGCTGGCGAGGGCGACCAGCCAAGGACATCTGACTGTGAAGGAATGCATTAGCCGGGACTACCCCAACAAAATGGAAATGAAATGAAGTGCCTGCAGCCCAGTAGCAGGAAGGCTCTCTTTTGCAATGTGACAGGCCTCAGAGTATTTAGAAGAAAAACATCAGCAGGATTCAGCAGAGCAAACAGGGACGACCCAAGCGAGTGTTGCAACTGGTAACCAAAGGTGTGGAAAACACCCTTCTTCCACATTAGTCAAATGCCAATGGAAACCAGCACATTGCTGACACCTGCTCGCAGGTGGGTAACAAATCATGACCAGTGATGGGGCAGTTGTCATAACAATGCCTCAAGTAAGCTGTGCTGGATTCCTAGAGAAAAATCTGGCAATAAAAATATTCAGACTAGTTGGCCTAAACAGTCTGTTCCTAGGATTGCCCCAGAACATGGTCTGAATAAAGGAAAACAGCTCTAATCACTCAAACCTGGGGGACCCAGAAACCACTTCCTCCCCACAGGCCAGCAGTGCTGCTGTAGATGTCACAAGGCTAGTGCCTCCCAATCTGCTCATCTGCTCCAAGTGCAGGACTAACAGCTATGGGTGGGGCCAGAACCTCACTGTGCAAGGTCACAAGGGTACCTGGGTCGGCATGTGGCTCTCTGAGAAGGTTCCAGCAGGGCTGGCAGAGGCTCAGTTTCCAAGCCCCTCCACCCTTCTCCCTGGAGGAGCGGCAACCCCATGGCTGGGGCAGACAAAGCAGGGGGTGGCCAGAGCATCTTGTGGGCAAGAGGAGGTATCTGTTCAGGGAACAGGGGCATGTGTGTGGCAAAGCAGGGCTGCCACCGAGGAAGGAGGGAGCCTGCAGGAACGTGTGTCCAAATGGCCCGGGAACGGGAGGCTTGGTGCACCATTCTGCTTCTGTGTATGCATGAAATTTCCCCAAAATAAAGTTTTAGGAAAGAATACTAGTGAATTCATAGTGATAAGAAAACAATAAAATGAACAAAAAAGGAATAAAGAGTCAAAACTCATCCCCATTCCTCACAGGAGTGACAGAATCACGACAGAATGAAAATCAGTTTGGAACCCAGGCAAATACTGCGCAGCTGCATCACCCCTGGACACTGAGGCCCTGGGTCAAAGGTCATGGGAGCAGTGGAGGCCTCTTCACAGAGCCCCTCGCTGATCACCTGATGATTGTACCTCAGCCAGGAGACCCCAGACTGCATGCCCATGGAGCCAGCCTGACCAGAATCTGACCCATCACCAGGGAACCCGTGCCAGAAACAGCTTGAGCATGATCCAGTGGGAGCCCCACATCCCAGCTTGTGGGCTGTCAGGACCAGCATCTTACAGCACACAAAAGGCAACACCCTGAAGACTCAGCAGCGGGTGCCATGCATGGTCCTGGGCCAGATGGCAGGGGCTCAAGCTGCCATGACCCTGGAGATGTCCACATTCAGCCAGGATGAGATTCCACGTCAGAAAAAGGTGCGCAAGAGAATGTGCATTAGTTCAGAAAAAGGTGTGCATGTGTGTGTTGAAAGAGGAAGGGCAGGGAGCCAGGTGCTGGCACAGCATACCCCTGTGGGCATGAATTCTCAAGGTAAAGGTGGGGGTGGGTGGCGGCCCTCGGGGACCAGCATGGGACCAGCACACTCTCACAGGGACAGGAGCGGAGGCCCAGGCAAGCTGAGCAGTGTGAGAGGGAGGGTGCCCCTGGGGTCCTGGTTCTCAGGCCCAGTGTCCCGACTGAGCCTCTCGCCCTGCCCTGCCGGTACCCACGTGGTGAAGCTGTAGTTATCGTGCACCTGGCTAGGCCAGCTCCTGGGCTCCCTTCCGCCGAGGCCCTTGAGGCCGAGGTAGGCGGCCTGCACTGTCTCCAAGTCCTGGCCTCTTGGCTGCAGCCACAGCTGGGCTGCCCTGGAGAGAGACGGAAGATGGTCAGGGTGCCACCCACAACCTGCACAAAGTGGACAGCACCTCAGGGCCACACATTCCTGTAGGGACCACCCAGCAATACCGCTGGCATGAGTGTGGTCACAGATGGTGGGCCCCCAGAGGGCACAGCTGTATGCGGAAAAATCACTCACAGAGGCAGGTGCACACTGAAGCAATGCCTCGAGCTATACGATTGCCCTCGGTTAGGGAGGCGGCTCCCAATAAAGTGCTTTTTAGGAGGCTGCATTTCAGTGAATTGTGGTGGTGGACCAGACCAGGCGTGTGACCACGATGAGCTGCGCCTGAGGGCACATGTAGAGTAGCAAAGCCAACGGCCACAAGCCAGCCAGGAAAGGCCAGGTGGGAGGGGCCACGCCCCTGCAGCTCCAGGAGCAGCAGGGTGGGGAGCGAGGTCGGTGCGGGAGTGGGGGCGCTTGTGTGCATGCTCGCTGCCCGTGGCACCGGGGCTGCTCCCAGAAGATGCGGCCTCACCTGTCGGACCATGGCTGCCGGCTCTTCACACACTTCATGAGGCAGCAGGTGAGGAAGGCCATGGACATGAGCAGGATGATGGCACAGCTGACAATGGAGGCGATCACAGCCACCTTGAAGCCAAAGGTCTCATAGGGTGGCACGGCTGTGAGGGAGACAAGACAGCTCCTGGGTGCTCACCCAGGCCCTTCAATGGACAGGACAGGCCACCCCACAGTGAACATGACCCACAGGGGTGGCAGGAGGTGCTGGTGGCCAAGGAAAGGGTCTGTGCAAACTGTCAGAGAAGACTGCCCCCAAGGAGGGATGTTTGAGCAGGGTTTTGGAGGGTGTGTAGGAGTTTGTGGTGGCACACTGAGCACAGTTCTGACAGGGAGTTCAGTGGTGGGCCCCAGCTCCCATATACTATGGCCCGGCCCCAGGAGGGTGGCAGCAGGCTGCTCTTGGTCTGTTCTCATCACATCCAGCCTGGCAAACCCTTCAGGCCTGTGTGTCTCCTTGTCACTTTTCAGGAGGAGGAGGACACCAAAGCAAGGAAAACACCCATATTTGGAATCCAAGGGCCTTTGCCACATGTCAGCCATGTGACCTCAGCTATGCACTAAGAACTAGTACTTTCAGGTTGTAAAGGGTGCTGTGGGAAATGGGGCCCGGCAGCTCATGTGAGCACACACCCTCCCCTGCAGGGACACTGCTCAGCCCTCCAGGCCCTGCCCTCGCTGGACTCTGGACATCCAAAGGAGCCTGCCTCTCCCCACCTCCCCTGCAGCTGCATGTGGTCACACAACTGCATTCTGGCCACCTTCTGAGAGCCTGCCTTGCCCTGTCCCTCTCCCACAGCTGTCTGGTACACGGGTGCTGCCATCTGGGTCATGCCCAACAGAGGTGCCACATGAGCCCTGGATTGCCCATCTCAAGGGCCACAGGCAGGAGGATGCTCCATTTCATTTTAACCCTGTTATCTTGGGCTTTCCATCTCTGGCAATCTAATTCTGACATTCACCCTTTCCCAGAGACTCATCCAGCACATGAGCATTTTAAAGGCTCTGAGAAGTCCCACAGCCTATTAATCCAGCATTTTCCCAAACTGGTTGACTATAGAGCCCTTTTAATGCACAATACACATGGCCTCACTTTGGAAGATGCTGTGCTGGGTATTATCCATCAATACCCTGCACAACAAACACAACTAGAAGACTGGAAAGCCATCCCCTCCCCCGGCCCTGGGTGGGGGCATCCTGGCCTCAGAACTCTCACTTCTAGAATTCTTAGCACACAGAATATCCTATTAACGTATGCAGTGTGCATGCCTGAAAGAATGACGGAGAGGAACAAATGTAGTTTCCTGCCTAACAAATAACAAGAGCTCAAGCGTGGACAACACAAGTAGCCTCTTGGAGGTGACAGGCCATGTCAGTGGCAGGGTAGGACTCATACCAGCTACTACGGCTCGAGTCCACAGGTGGACATGGAGCCCCAAGGGTGCTGGCCAGTCCCCAACACCAAGATCAGGACCCCACCAAGAGGCCAAGTGCTCACACCCACCATGCCTTTCCAAGGGTGCTCCTGAGGCCCACATGCTGGGGTCAGGCCCCACCCACCCAAGGAAGCTACAAACAGTGGGGGAAATGGGCCTCACACTTGCACAGAGGGGCTGCTGAAGACCACTCGGCGACACTCTGCTTCCAGACACAGGTGAGCAGGCCGGCCCCCACCATCTGGTGGCCCGAGGGGCAGTGGAACACGATGACAGTCCCCACAGAAGTGCCATTGCCACGAAGGACTTGGAAGGTGCCCCTCAGGGGTGGCTGCACTTGTGAGCATGTGCCTGGGGAGAGGGGAGAGATGGCATGAGGGCCTGCTGGAGGGTGGGGCTGGGCAGGGGCCCCTGCCTGGGACACGCACTGATGCTCCAGCAGCCACAAGGCCCCAGAGAAGGGCTCACAGCTAGCCAGACCGGTGGACAAACAGGGAGCTGACCCCCACACTGCGTGAGCTCTGGATGCTCTGAGACCCACGGCGCTGAGGGCAGTGTGCAGCAGAAGACAGTAAGGCAAACAGCCAGTATCCAAGTGCAGCTGCAAAGGAGGGCAGGCCAGCAGATGTGACCACACAGAAGCACAAAGCAAAAGCTTGTTGCTCGCTAGTAACTGGGACATAAACTCAGATGGACAAAGTTGGAAAATGTTAATCAGAGAATCTCAGGCAAAGGCTCAACACCCTTAGCTTATAAAGAGAAACTCCCACATCCATAAGAGCTGACCCTCCAGAGCTGACTACGAACACACCCCGAAGAGACAAGCGGCTGAGAGAGAACAGTGCGAGCCCTCGGTGACTGAACACTAGTTCACAGGAGCAGTAATATTTTATTCCTCAACTTGGCAACAAGTGAAAGAGCAAAGACCTCATGTGAAGTCACGAGGGCCTGGGAGCACCTCCTCGTGGACTTCTCTGGTGGGGGAGCGGATCCAAACCTTTCTGGGTGGAGTTTGGCAGACGGATCAAGAGCCTTACGTGGTGTTCCCATTGGAGAATTGAGCCAAAGAGAATAATTAGGAGTCCGTTGCCAGCGTTTCTGTACTGGGAAACCGGAGCCACCAATGCCCCAGCTGTGGGGGTCAGGGCGGTGAATGCTGGACAGATGCCCCGTGTGGGACAGCGAACACAGCATTTGTGAAACAGCAAAGCCAACAGCTGGCCCTTGTAAGACACCAACTGCACTAGGCACACAGGGACTCACCCATCCAACAGCATTAACACTGTCACCCCCCATACCCCCAGCAGGTGGGCAAACTGGGGCACAGGCTGGGTGAGTCACTGCCTGAGGTCACAGTGCAGGCACAGTTTAGGGACCAGGCCAGGTGGCTCCAGTCCTGCTTCTTGGCACATGTACATGCCATGGGCCTGTCGGCACTCGCGTGCTGGGCACTGGCCTGCCGAGGTAGAGTATAGGCCAATTGCAGGAGGGCCCTATGGCATCCTGCTCCCCACCAGTGGCTTTGAGCTGCATTCAGCACCTCTGGATGAGGCCGCAGGACATCCGGTGCGAGCTTCCTGCTATCACAGCACAAGAGGCGCTTCCCTCTGCTCTTCTGGGAATTTCCTGTTTGGAGCACTGGCTGCACCAGAGAGAGGGCCTAGAGGCAGGGCTGCCAGTCTTGGACAGCAGGGGGCCAGTGGTGCTGGCAGCCTGGCCTAAGCTCAAGGCAAGACCGCATGCTTCACGGTGCCTGGATGCCCTGCCAGCATGTCCAAGCACACTGTCCAGGAGCAGGGGTGGGGAGTGGAACAGAGCTGCCCACCCAAGCGAGGACCCCCATCCATGAGATGCCACATGGTCATTCACCTGCCAAACACTGCATGGAGAGGGCAGCTAGAAACTGACATAGACTTAAGAGTCCTAATTTAACAGGAGATGAGGGAGTGTGGGCCTTTGGGCCATATCTGCAACTGTTAACATACTTGTGACCATAGAAGTAGCACCTATGTTAGTGAGACAACGATGAAAATCACAATGGAAAAGAAAGGATAAAATAGGAAGGAAAAGAAATGGCTCAACTAATGCCCAGGGGGCAGAGCATTTAGTTAAGACAATTAAGTAAAAGGCATCCACACTGGGAAGGAAAAAGCAAAACTTCCCTATTAGATGACATCTCGTCTCTAGAAAGTCCCCAGGAATCCACTCAAAGTCTCAGGAACTAACGGGCAAGCCCAGGCAGGCTGCAGGATGCAATACCGACACCTGGAAGTGCAGTTTCCATACAGGGCGAGGAACACACTGAAAATGAAGTTAGGAAACGACCTCATCTATTGTAAGGACAATACATTAGAATACACTTAATGAAAGGATAAAACCTAAATGCCAAAAACTACAAAAGAAAAAATAAAACAATCGCCACATGCCCTTGAGTGGGGAGACAACGCTGTTGGGATGGTGCCTCTGCAGTCTGCTCCCCTACAGACCCAACATCACCCTGATCCGCAGCGGCTGAGGCCTCCGCTGAAATGGACAGGCTGAGCCTAAAGTTCAAAGGGAAATGCAAAAGCCCTAGAATAGCCAAAACCTTGAAAAAGGAGAACCAAGCTGGAGGACTCACACTTCCCTATTTCAAAACTTACCACAAAGCTGCAGTGATCAAAACAGAGCTGTCCTGGCATACGGCTGATGTCACAGAACAGAACTCAGAGCCCAGAAATAAACTCATCTTTACAGTCCATTGATTTTCGACAAGGACGCAAAGACAATTTTTCAACAACTGGTGGTAAGACAACATCCACATGCAGAAGAATAAAGTTCCCCCTCTCCACACGTCACATACAAAAACCGACTGACAGTGAGTCAAAGACCTGAATAGACACTAAAGTATAAAACTCCTAGAAGAAAGCATATGGATAGATCTTCCTGACCTTGGATAAAGCAATGATTTCTTAGATATGGCACCAAAAGACAAAGGAAAAAATAGATAAACTGACTTCATCAAAATTAAAGACACTGTGCTTCAAAGAACCATGAAGAAAGGGAAAAGATGACCCCAGAGGGAGAAAATACCTGCAGATCACCTATCCAATAAGGGACTTGGATCTACAATGTAGGAATGATTAAACTAAATTATGAAAAGACAACCCAATTTAAAAATGGGCAAAGATCTGAACAGACACTTCTCTAAGGATACACTGATGGCCGCTGACAAGTGTGTAAAAAGATGCTGCACACCCGCCACCTTCAGGGAGGTGCCAATCAAAAACACACGGGGAGGTGCCCCTTCACACCCAACGAGCCTTCCATACAGGAAAAAAAGGCAGACTACGGTGTGCCGGGGCGGGGGAAACCGACCCTCCATGCTGTAGGTGGGGGCGGAACAGGGTTCACACAGCTTCTCCAAGTCAAGCAGGAAATTAGTGAGTGAGAAAGCAGTGTCTCTCCTAGCTCCATGCCCGGGAAGTATGAACACATGTATTCACAGCAGTGCCGGGCACAACAGCCAAAGAGTCAAAACCACCCAAATGTCCATCCGCTGATGAATGGATAAACAAAATACCATATAATCTACCTGGCAGAGCATTACTGAGCAATAAAAGGCAAGGAGTGCTGGCAGCGCACTGAGGGTGACCTGGAGGATGTGACATCAGAGCGATGGCCGACAGACAGGACCACATAGCGCGTTGTTCATTTCATATGAGGGGTCCAAAGGAGGCAAATCCATACAGATAAAACGCAGATTAGGGGCTGGGGGTCGGGGAGTTGGGACATGGCCACTGAAGACTGCAGGGGGCTACCCTTCTATTTGGGATGTGAAAACATTCTATAGCTGACGCGGTGATAGCTGCAGGTATCTGGGAACGTGCTGGAAGTCACTGAGTTGGTACACGTAAATGCATAACCCACATGGGTGAATCGTACAGTATGTGAATTACACGCCAATAAAGCCATTAGAAATATTCAGAATAAATATGTCAAAGAAATGCAAATTTAAAACCTAAACTGTTTTTGGCCTCTTAGCTAGGTTAAAGTTGAGAGACTGGTCCACTAAGTTACAAGGGTGTGGAGGAAGGGGTATGTAAACCCTGGCAGGGGTATAGAGGACACAGCTCCCATCCACCATGCCCATCTGGACATTTCCTGCCTCCCCTCTCAGGCCCTGGGCCAGTGGTGGGCACTCATGGCACAGTGGGACTCCAGTCCTGACTCAGAGTCCAGCCTTCTCCATGGGCATCTAGTCATGGCCCCACCTCCACAGGCCCCAGGACACCTCCACCTGCCCCCACAGTCCACCGGGCCCAGGACACCTCTGCCTGGTCCCATAATCCACGGGACCCAGGACACTTCCACCTGCCTCTATGTCCATGGGGCCCAGGACACCTCCACCTGCCCCCCAACCCCATGGGGCCTCCTGCATCCCTCCCCTAGGCCAGGAAGACCAGCAAACACTTTCTGGCCCATTTTCCAGAGGGACAGGTCCACAGACCTCCTTGAGGCCTTGGAGTGCCCGACAGCCTCACCAGACTCTCCCCTAGGCCTCCTAATGCAAAGCCAGGATGGGGTGGGAGGCAGCATGCTGCCAGGGGATCATGGGGGTTTAGTCTGGTCTACCCAGGCCCCCATCCCAGAGACAATTTCAGGAATCACCAAGGCCTGGTGGATGGGCCAGCTGGCTCTACCAATATGCCTCCTCACCACTGCAAAAAACCCAGCAGCTACTCGTACCCCACACTGCCCCTCCCAGCCGTCTGGGCACCCCTGGACCCCTCGCTGCCCTCTACCCCAGCCTGGAGACCCCCAAACCCTTCACTGCCTCCTTCCCAAACTGGAGAACCCCAGACCTTCTCACTAACCACCCCCAACAGCCCCTCCCCACACCTGGCATCTAAGAGAAAAGTCTCAGCTCACCCCCACCCCAACCACACACACCTCCTAGGCCTGGCCCCTGCAGAGGACACCCCCAAGCTGTCTTTCCTCTTGGCCCCACCCTGCCCTGGTGCCCCACCCAACCCACCTGCTCCTGGGACCTTGGAAGCTACATCTCCTGCCCTTCATTGGCTGGACCAATGCACCCCTCAACCTTTTTCCCTGGCACCATTTATGACTCCTGTTTATACTGTGCAGATAGATCTTAAAGCAAAGTAAAAACAAAAGAAAAAACAGGGTGAATGGATTTGACACAAACTGGAAACAAACCCTATGGGCTCACTGGACAAAGGATGCAGACCTGCCCGTTGGGCCGCCCTTGCGCACCCAGTGCCCAGCTGCCCTGGCCAGCCTCCTCCAGTCCAGCCTGCTGGCCAGTGGGGGTGAAAACAAGCCTTGCTTGTTAATCTTTTATCTGGAACCTTGGACCACAGGCCCACCCCTCCTGGATCCCACATGACCCCCAAATCCTGACCTCACCAGATAGGGACCAGGTAAATGAGTTACCTTTTATGCTGGCCGAGGCTGTGGACTAGAGGAATACTGGGAGAGGGAGGCAGGCCATTGGGCCCAGGGCCTGAGTCCTGTGCCACGGGAGAGTGGCTGCCCTGCTGAGTCTGTTTCCCCAACTGGAAAGGGGAACCCTCAGGACGAAGGTCTCAGAGAATTCAAATGGGTGATGAGTACACAGAGGTGCCCTATGGAGAGTGGGAATGCCAAGACCCTGGCAGGGGGACAGCACATGTGGGAGGCCCACAGGCCTTGCTGTACATCCTCAGGCAAGGAGCTTGCCCTCTCTTAGCCTGCCTCCTTTCCCTGGGAGGGAGGGGAGCCACAGAGTCCACCCAGCTCTCCTAGCACTCCCATGAGGCTTGCCCACGTGTGTGGAACAGGCTCTGCTCCAAAGGCCAGACTGACCCCGCCCCAGGGGAAGAACACGGAGGCTCTGGGAGGCCCACCCAACAGGTCCGCTGCACCCTGGCAGGGAGCAGGGGCCCCAAGGGCACAAGGACGACATCCAGATTCGCACCCCTACCCTCACACTCGCTCTGGGCCTCAGCCTCTCCTCTAAATTGGGCCAGTCCGGCTGCATGGCCAGCTGCAGGAGTGAAGCCAAGGGCACCCGCCCTCACCCTCCAGGCAGTCCTGCTGCCCCCTCTCCAGGCCCTCCTCCAAGGTCTTTCCAGGGATGGGGCTGGGGGGGTCACCTCCAGCCCCTGGAGCCCTGGGTTCCTCCTCCTGCAGGGCTGCGTCCCTGCTCAATCTCCCAGATCAGGGAGGGTTGGTGCTGCCTGGGAGCTGGGCCAGGGACCAGCAGAGGCCTGCAGGCTGTGGCAGGGCAGCCTTCCCCACAGGCAGGGCACTCAGCCCCCTCCTAGGCAGCCATTCAACAAACTGAACCCCTGATGAGCCAGTTGGCCCTCCCGACCACCACTGCCATGCAGGGAGAGGGGGGAAGTGCCCCGGACAGACTGCATCCGGCTAGCCCTTCACACCCACCCAGGAAAAGCAGAGTGATGCACCCACTTTACAGAGAGGGTCAAAAATCCCACCTGTTCACCACCCTAGACAGTGCCTAACTATCTCCCAAAGACCCCCGCACCCCGCACTCTTCCCCTCACTGCCCAGCAGGGAGGGGTCGGCACCCATTTCACAGCCAAGAGATGAGCCACAGGTTGGAGCAGCAGGGCGGCTGGGGGGCTGGAGGCGGGGTCAGGATGCCGGTGTTGCCCCAAAACAACCCCAGCCAACATGTTGGTGCGCCAGGCTCTCCTTGGCTCTGCCTGGCCTGTCCACAAGCCTGGGGCAGGCATACAACGTCCACCACCCAACACACAAGGAAACTGAGGCACAGAGGCGGTGAGACACACCCCAAATCAAAAGCGGGTTCTAAGCTCAAATTCCACGAAGGGCTCACAAGCTGGAACCCCCAGGGCATGTGTCTGGGAAGAGGCTGAGCCACAAAGCAGAACCAGGGCAGAGGCGGATCTGAGACGCTTTCCCCAGGTGAGCGCCAGCAAACAGCCTTTCATATGCAAAGAAACCGGGGCTCCCTCCCTCTCCTTGGCTGACCTTGGGCAAGTCCGTCCACCCGTGGCAGACACCACCTCCCAGATAGTGCGCACAAAGCTGACTGTTTCACACAGAGGAGCAAAGCACCAAATTTGGAACTGCAACAGGCTGCGGGGAGGCGGGGAGCAGGTCAACTCCCACACTTCCAAGCCACGCCTCTGCTCTGCCCCAGGACTTACTCCCCTTGGCCTCAGTTTCCCCATCTGACAGGGAGAGGAAGCCACCCCACAGGCGCCTCCAGGGTGGCAGGCATCACGTTTTAAGCAGGCAGGAGTGGCTACACTCTGGAGTGTGATTTGGCCAGCTCGCCCCTCCAGGCCCACCTGCCACCTGTGCAGAGAGCTCAGTCCAGCGTCCGGCCTGGGGCACAGGTGAGTCCAGGCCTCAAGGAAAGGGGGCTTGTGCGCTAAAGTGAAGCCTGGAACACCTGGGGCACAGGGGACGGATTTGGCTTTGTTTCTAAAAGGCTGGATTCTAGACACACGGAACCAACTGGGCCCCAGGTGCCTTTCCTCCGCCCTAGCTGCGGCACCCAGTGAGGCCTCTTCAAAACACGCCCGACATCAAACTGAAAGACAATCATTCTCCCGCCTTTGGGGGCCTGGCTGCTGCAGGACCTCGGGCATTCGCTCGTTTCCAGGCTGCTTCTCCACCTGCGAGGTGGGGCTGCGGAGCTGGCCAAGTAACCGGCGTCTCTCCACTTGTGCGCCGCGCCCAGCAGGGAAAAGGCGCGTAGTGGCGCCGAGTTCGGCTCCACGGGGCCGCCCGCTGGGTGATGGAGGTGGTCCAGCTCCGGCCGGTCTCTGGCTGTGCGGAGCCCCAAGTCTACTCTGCGACCCAAGCTGTGCACCCCCACACCCACCTGTGCGCCCCCAGATTGCGCACCTCCTGCCGGCTGTGCCCCCGCCCCTCGGCTTCCCAGTCAGTGAAATGGGCAAGGAACCACCCTAGCGGCCCCGGCTCACCTGTGCCGTCCTCCGGGGCGGGCGTGGAGTTCGCCGCACGCCCCCCGGGCCTCGACCTGCGGCGGAGGGTCGTGGCCGTCCGCAGCATCCCTGAGCCCCGCCACGCACTGGGGGACTTGCGGGAAGAGGCCGGCGGAAGGGGCAGCCCGGACACGCCCACCGAGGCCCCGCCCTGTGGGTCTTGGGGCAGGGCAGGCCCTGCGGGAGCTTCAACCCCTGAGAGTACGAAGCAGGAGGGGCAGGAAGTCTCGCTCCGGGCCCTCGCGGGGGCGGTCCTCTCCGTCCCACCTTTGACCTCCAAGGTCCCCAGGCCCGTGTTCTTGTGAGCAGCAGGCGCCTGGAGCAGGACCCCATCTGTGCCACTGTGGGCTGGGACCCTAAGGTGGGGGTCGATGTTGTGCGTCTTCACTGAAGGAGCCCCCGGGTGTGTGGACAGGATTCGTATCTCCTGGGTCCTGGACCGGCGTGCGCACCCGGGGTACCTGTTCTCCCCGGTTCTTCCCTCCAGCCCAGCTCCTCCTGCAGCAGCCGCCGGCTGTGCCCGCCCCTTCCTCTCCCCCTGACTCCACCCAGCCCAGGCGCATTGCCCCACAACCGCCCTGCGGCCCTGGGACCACAGACAAGAGAACTGGTAGAAGCAGTCCAGCAGATGCAAAGGCCCTGAGGTCGGAATACTTTGGAAGCTTGAGGCACTGCCAGAAGTCCAGTGCGACTGGCCCAGGAAGTCTGGGAAGGAGGCCCAGGTGGACAGCACTGGCTTTGGAGAGCCTGGCCTGTGGCAGCAAAGAGATGTGTGTTCTTCCAGGACCACAGGGCAGATGCAGTGTACCCGTGGTGGAAGCCCAGGCTCACTGTGCTGTGGCGTGAGGGGTCCTCCACTTTCCTGGATATAGGCTGGTTTCTCTGTAATATGTTCCTCCCACTGCAGACTGTGGGCCCTGTGTGATGGCCCCTAAAAACCCTTGACCATGCCTGTGTGTCCATCTGCCACAGTAGGAAGCCATGTGAGTCCACAGGGCCCTCTGTGACCCTCCCGATGACACTTGGGAACTGGAATTCTCCTCCAAATGATCCAAGCCCTCCTCTGGGCCTGCGTGGTCTTCTCGCTGCAACTGGCCCCTGTGCACACCACTAGGCTGAGGGCAGCTGCCTGTGGTACAGGGATGGGGCTGGGAGGCGAGATGGGATGGGCTGCCCACACCACCACACTCTGGCCCAGGCCTCCAGGAGCCCAAAAAAGCTGAAAGGAGCCTGGTCCTCTGGGGTGTGCATGCTGTGAGGGGCTGCTGCAGCACAGTGCCACAGACCAGTGGCATCAAATAGCAAAAAATGTGTCATCTCAGGGTTTTGGAGGCCAGAATACCAAGGCTGGGTGTCAGCAGATCCACCACCCTCCCAAGGCACTGGAGAAAGTCTGGTCCAGGCCCCTTTCCAGCTTCCTGTAGTCACTGGGCTTGTATCAGTGTCACTGCAGTATCCACATAGCCGTGTTGGCACTTTGCTTGTCTATCTCAGTATCCAATTTCTGCTTTTTATAGGGACACAATCCTGGGAGATTAGGGTCCCCCTACCAACCTCATGTTAACTTGTTTGACTTTATAAAGACCCTATCTCCAAATAAGGGCACGTTTTGAGTTTTCGGGGTTAGGAATTCTGCACTCGAATTCGATGGGGATACAGTTCAGCCCATAGCAGATGGTATCAAGGGGGATTGGAATTTTTTCTTGTCCGTCTATGGCTTGGTGACATGTGGCTGGCCTCCACTAAATACCATTAAGACCCGAGACCTCTGTCACATCCTATAAGAAACAGTACACTGTATCATGCTTCCAAACACCCACTTGCCACCAAAGCCATCTTCAGAAGCAGGAGGAGGCACTGGAGTGGCTTCTGGAGGTGGGACCTCAGTCCACATGAGCTGTATGAACCCATATGAAGCTGGGTTGCCCCATACATTCTTTTCCAGGGCCTGTTGGAGAGCCCAGCAACACTGACCACATGCAGGGAGGGAAACTGAGGCCCAAGAAGAAGGTACTCAACCTATCTTGGACCACAGACTGCCTAGGTCACCCCCTGCCCTACCACCTCAACTCCCCCCATCTACCCTGTTAGATGGTGGCTCTGAGGGGCCTCCCCCATGCCCTGGGCCATAATGTTCTCATTGGAGAAATAGAGAATGTCCTACCACCCTCCCAAGATGAGGGAGGTCATGACGTGTTCAAGGATGGAACTGTGCCACATGGCTGGGCCGCGCACGCCCACCAGCATTTGACTTTCCCCCATACACACCTACTCTACCCAACTTCCCCTCTATCTCTCCATGCTGCCCAAGACCCCTGGTTCTCTGTGTCCCAGGAAAGACTAGGAGCAGTGCCTGGGCTATGCCAGGCTGGTGTTTCCTTGCTCTTAGGTCCCAGCCGCCACCTCCAGGGAACCTTCCCTGATGGCCTGCCCCTTCAGAGCCTTGTGTGACCTCAAGGCCTGTGCTGTGTCTGCACCAGACTATGGCTCCCCAGTGGAGGTGGTGGTTATGGCAGGGGATGGGAAGGAACATGTGGGAGGCTGTTGGAGAGGCAAGGAGCTCCTTGCCCACCAGAGCCCAGCTCTGACCACTGTGTTGTCCTCCCTGACCAGCAGCCTGCACAACCAAGGCTCGCCTTGACTTTCACAGAGGAGATGGGTGAGTCACCCCAGGTGACACTGAGCTGGCCCTCAGGTTCACAGTGATGCCTCAGAGACATGGGCAGGGTGCCTGGGAGGGGGTGGGTCTTGGGGCTGTGTGCATCCTGGAGGGTGAGAGCAGGTAACATGTTCCTGGAACAAATCTGACCTGCCCTCCTGTGTGCCAGGCCTGCACAGGAACTGGGGCACAGTGGGCATTGGGGGCCGAGCCTGATGGGCTGCTTCCCAGGGCTCCTCGCTGCTACCAGACCACGGGTATTTCTTCCAGCTGCTTGGCTCTTCTCTGTGTTGTTGAATTTCATACAGTGAGCATGAATCTGTTCTCTAATCAGAAAACAGGAAACTGAAGACTTTAAGGGTAGGCACATGTAAGCGATCGCCTGACTGCTGTGGTCTGAGCCAAAACGATAGGACTTGGGTGCCCCAACTGCTCCCAGGTAAGCAGGGCAATAAGAAGCCCACGGGCGGGTCAAGAGCAACCCAGAGGCTTAGTGCTTGTGAGCCAGTTAAGCTTCTTTGATGGAGCCCAAGTCCCTGGTCACTGGAGAAGCGTGAGAGCCTGCTGGTGGCCTTGGGAAAGCCCCGCCCATTTCCAGGCCCTGTCGCCTCCCACTGTGTCCACCATCACTCAGGGCTCTCTGTTCCAGGGGGCAGTTCAGGGGCTTGGGCTTGGGGCTGGTTCTTGCCCTGGGGGAGGCATTCCTGGGGCCTCCCAGGTTGGGCCCTTGGAGGGCTCCCACTTTACAGATGGGGATACTGAGGCCTGGGGTAGGAACTGCCCCCGACAACACGGCTTGGCCCAGACCTGCCCCACAAGGCCCAGGCTCTGTGCTTCTCAGGGCATCTGTAAAACGGGAACCAACACCGCTCCCATCAGGGACCAGGGAAAGATGAACTGCACAGGCCTCCAGCGTGTCTAGTGTGAGGCCCACAGTGAGGGCCGGCAGGAGGGGCTTTGTGCTGTCTGGGGACAGTGGAGCAGGAAGGGGCTGCACACCTGCTCTGCTTCTTCACCGAAGCATGACAGGGATGCATTACTAGTCAGGAGAGTTTCACTGTCTCCATTTCACAGGCGAGGCCGCAAGCCACACATTTGCTAAGTGGTTGCTCCATCAGCTACAAGAGACGGAAACCCAACAGCCACCCAGGGGAGATTGCTCCTGGCAGCTTCAGTGTTCTGAGGAGGGCCTTGCAGCCAGGGCCACAGGACTGGGGGATGACTGTCCTGGCATCCCAACACCTCACCCCAGGGGAATACGGGGCCACCTGCTCATCCCTGGGCCAGTGGCTACAGCCAGGCAGAGACACTCCAGGCATTCTGGAACATGTGGCTGCAGAGCAGCAGAACTGCTTGTGACAGTAGCAGACATTCCTGCTCACAAGCTGTGGTCCAGGCAGGTGGGGCTCAGCACTTCTTTCTGCTCAACAGAGAGAGCCCATCCCAGTGCACTGGCGTTCTGTGGGGCCACTTGAGCTTCCTACAGCATGGCACCACCTTCCAGGAGCAAGCGCTTCCAAGGAGGATGCGGAACCTGCCCATTTTTCCAGGTCACAGCCCAGAATGTCACTTCCCAGCAAGCAGCTGGGAGCTCAGGCTTCAGATGTAGAGACAGACCTCCCTTTACAGCAGGAAGAGGATCCCCTGAAATATAAGAGCCATCTGGGGCAGGCATGGGCCAGGTTGATCCAAACTCCTCCTGGGTATCTGCCAGGCACCCGCACACCAGCAGCTCTCTCCAAACTAGAAAAATAGGGTCATGTGTACATGCGACCTGCTGGCTCTGACAAAGCCAAACGGGCACCAGCCAACGCCAGGTCGGGAGGGCTGGAGGCTCTAGTGCCAGGTGGTGTGGGTTATGGCTTGGCTTTATTCTTGGTTCTGATGCACGTGCTGGGCTGCTCAGTGGCACGCACAGATTATCGGTCTAGCCCCGGGCTTTAGGGACACCATCTGTGGGCAGGCAGCCACAGCCCATGACCAAAGCTAAGCTCATCTCGAGCAGGCCGGCACAAGCACACACGGAGTCTCGGGGACCCCACACAGTTTTCATCTCATCCAGGCCCAGCTCCACGTGAGGGGGCCCAGGTCATGTGGTTGCTCTCTTCCCTCCTGTCCCCACACCCCCATGGCCCTGGCGACTCCCTCATCCTCAGCTCCTCTGAAAGGCACGTGGAGAGTGGGGCTGGCCAAGGCTAGCCCATTTGGTGAAGGCCAAGGCCCCAAGGGTGGTACAAAGGCTGGATCTCAGCGTGTCTGCATGATCACCAGGGCCCCTGTGCAGTATACAACCTGCCTAACTGAACACGGCCATCCTCAGTGGGGAGCGTGCCACTGCCGCCTTCAGAGGCCCTGTGGAGGGCAGCTGTCATCTCAAAGGGGACAGAAATCTAAAAGGCCCCTTCCCGGCCCCTCCCTGCCTCATTCCCTCCAGTCACCATCCCAGGTCCTGCCTGGACTGTTCTTGCTCCTGGCTGCACCATACTGCTGGCCTCTGATCTCTCAGGTCCATGGAGCTTGGGGTAAAGCCCTCAGTAAAGCTGACTTTCCTCCATTCTACCCAGCCCTGTGGCTCTGCTTGTTTCTACACTTGGATCAGTGCTGCTGCCTCCAGGAAGGACTCCCTGCCTACTCAGCTGGGTTGAGGCAGACCTGGCTTGTTAGCCCTTCATGCCCCATAGATGGACTGCACTGGAGTGGAGAATTACTCCTGGTTCATTTCTCTGGCCCTGGAGCCCAGCACAGGCTGGACACAGGGCAGGTGTTGCTAGCAGATTGTAGATCTGAGAAAGAGGCAGTCCAGGCAGTGATGTTCC